CACTACGGAAGTAGGATTGCCCAACCTTCCTTCCGAGGAGTGGCTGGTGGGTTTGAACCTCCAGCCTTCTGGTTAGCAGTCAAGTGCTTTAGCCACTATGAATAAATGGTATAATTACAAAACTTCCATAAGGAGAGGAAGTCAGGATGATGTTAATATAGAACAGACTGTTCCAAACTTAAGGAAATAAGAATTTACCCCAGGGTAATCACCAAGAAAATTAAACCTTCTAACCAAAATAAGAAAGGATAAAAGAACAAGGACTTAGTAAACAAGAAAGCAATAATAATGAAAAAAAGGGAAAGAAAACCTGGTAACAGAATGAACTTGGCACAGAAAAATATTTGAAGCAAAGAAATCATCAGCACTCACAACACAAAAAAGAATGACAGCAGTAAATTCTTGGTATTTGAATGCTAACCAGAAGGCTGGTGGTTCAAACCCACCAGCCACTCCTCAGAAGGAAGACTGAGCAATCTACTTCCATAGAGATACCGCCCTGGAAACCCAAGGAGGGGTTGCTGTGAGTCAGAATCAACTTGAAGGCAATGAGTTTGTTTGTTTGTTTGTTTTTATCGTTAATTACACTAAATAAGTGGCAGATTGGATAAGTAGCCAAGACCCATCAATACCAGACTCTCCTTAGACACAAAGATAAAAATAAATTAAAAATCCAGAGATGGAAAAAAATCTATCAAGTTGATGGTAACCAAAAAAGAGCAGGAATGGCAATATTAATTTCTGATAAAACAGACATCAAGGCAAAATCCACTGTAAGGGACAAGAAAGGGCATAATATGATGAAAAAAGAGGCAACAGACCAAGAGAACATAACCATAATAAGTATCTATGCACCCAATGAAAAAGCTCCAAAATATGTAAGGCAAACATTAACTGAATTAAAAGGAGAAAGAAAATTTTGAAAAGGAAAAGAATATACAAATCAATGTTCTGGCAAAGCTCACTCTTTTTTCTTGACCCTGTTCTCAGCTCATAACCTGACCTCCAGTTCTTGGGATATAAGCCTACAGAAGTCTCTAGTTTGCTGCCTAAACTGCAGATTTTGCATTTGTTGGCCCCTGCAACCATATGAGCCAGCAGAGGTCTTCAGCCATGGATTTGGGACTTGCCAGCCCCCACAACTAAGTGAGCAAGTTCCTTGAAGTAAATTTCTCTCTTTACAAACCAATACATGCTTCACCTGCTCCTCTAGACAACCCAAACTAAGACATGAGGGGAAATCTTGTGACATAATTAAGGGCATATATGCAAAACCAAGAGCCAACATTATTCTCAATGGAGAAAGACTGAGAGCCTTCCCTCTGAGAATGGAATGAGATAAGCACACCCATTATCACTACTCCTATTCAATATTGTACTGGAAGTCCTAGCCAGAGTAATAAGGCAAGAAGGAGAAATAAAAGGTATCCAAATCAAAAAAGAACTAAAACTATCCTTATTTACAGATGACATGATCCTATAAATAGAAAATCCCAAAGATTCCATAAGAAAGCTCTGGATCTAATAGAAAAATACAGAAACATTGCAGGGTACAACGTTATGGATTGAATGGTGCCCCCCAAACTATGTTGTAAATCTTAACCTCTATGCCTATAGTTAAGGAGCCCAGGGACAGAATGGTTAAAGCACTCGGCTGCTAACCAAAAGGTCGGCAGTTCAAATCCACCAGCTGCTCCACGGGAGAGAGATGTGGCAATCTGCATCCATAAAAATTACAGTCTTTGAAACACTCTGCAGTTCTACTCTGGCCTTACAGAGTCACTGTGAGTAGGAAGGGGTATGTCTGTGGTTATAATATCATTTGGGAATGGATTTTCTTTGTTATGTTAAAGAGGCATGATTAGTGTAGGGTGTATTTTGAGACACTCTCTTTGGAGATATTAAAGAGGTTAAACAAGTGAGAGAAGCAGAGACAGGAGAAGACTGATGCCAAGACACAAAGAGATCTCCAAGGAACCAGGAAACAGAAACTAAAGAGACAGGACTTTCCTCCAGAGCCAACAGAGACAAAAAGGCTTCCCCTGGAGCCAGTGTTCTAAATTCAGACTTCTAGCCTAGTGGCGTAGTGCCTAAGGCATTTGACTGCTAACCAGAAGGCTGGCAGTTCAAACCCACCAGTCACTCCTTGGAAGGAAGGTTGGGCACCTACTTCCATAGAAATACTGCCTCAGAAACCCAAGGAGGGGTCACTATGAGTCTGATCTGACTCGATGGCAGTGAGCTTGGAGCTTGAGCCTCCTGAACAGTGAGACAACGAATTTCTGTTTGTTAAAGCCATCCACTGGTAGTACTGCTGTTATTATATTACATAACTAAGACAATATGTAAATAGTATTCAGTACAAACAAATGCAATAATTTTCTATTTGTCTACTATATCTTATACATATACTTGCCCATACACACAAATACATTAATAGATAATCTTCAAAGTCTCTTAAAATCAAGGATTCTGTGATAAGAAAGAAAATTTATTGGATGTAACTTACCAACACAATCACAGCACTCATCCCAAAGAGTACCAAGACAAAGCATACACTCTTTACAACAGGAACAATTTCCTTCTCCAGGCCGGCACTGGCAGAGCTCCTAGAAATCAACCAGATGTTTAAACTTAAAATTCCAGATATGATATTTTAAATTATTACTTTTTCAGCACAAAGAGCAACATCTGCATTTATATTTGATATCATTAACTATTGGTAAGAACATAAATATTTACAATGCCAAGTAGATTGTTTTCTTTCTTTTGGACAAACTCAGTAAACATTTTGAATGCTTTTACCTTTTAAAACAAACAAAACATTTTACTTTATACATATATACTTTCTTCTCCTTCCCCCAGTGCCTCCAAGACAAACGATTCAGTACAAGAACAAAACATATTTTACAGCTCTGAGAGCCATCATCCCAATTAATCTAAACTAGTCAACTTGTAATGGCAGAACCCAGGAGTAGCTTGAGGAAGATTTAGTCTGTCTTCTCCAGAACATTCCCCTCCTTTAATTGAACTCACTTCTGTGGCTTCCAGGCAAACAACAGACAGACATAGAGGGTGAACATTTACACCAGGTAGGTATACTCCTTAGAATCATGGGAGATCAGAAGGGCAATATTTGCACAGGGAGATAGCTTAGGAGGCAGGAATGCAAAGGGAAGAAGGACACAGGGTAGAGGTAACCATAGGGAGGAAGAGGAAAGAAAGCTATAACATTGTGGGGATTGTAGTCAATGTCATGAAACAAACTGTGTATGAACTGCTGTACAGAAAATGAATTTCGTTTCCACTCCTTCTCTAGCACTATGCCTGGCTGTCATGTGACGCCTGGCATAACCTGCTGAAAGATAAAAGACCTCATGGAAGGGAGACAAGTTGGTCCAACTGAAGCCACCTTAGATCAGTCAGCCACCAAACAGCGCAGCAGCTGGCAAGAGATACATGAATGAGCCCAGAAAAACCACACAGCTATTTGGCGCAAATAGCCAACCCACCAAAAGAAGAGCTAAACATATGGTCATTGTTTTAAATCACTAAATTTTGGGGTAGTTTGCTACTCCATAAAACTAATATAGCTTGCTTTGTAAATGAAACTTCAAGACAACTTCTTTATACTTGTCCTTACCCTTACCAACCAGACTACCACTTCTAAACAAAACCAACTTAAATGGAAATTCAGTACCCACCATTGCCTATTTGACTTTCCTTGGTTTAAGAGACACCATATATATTTTAGCAGAAAAATATTAATACTTCATTATTTCAATGGAAATAACTATCTTATGACATAATTGATTTTACTCTCAGGCTTAGGAGGAACCTCACAGGTCAATAAACCATCCTTCCATCTAACACTTGAATCTCTCCTAAACTCCATTAACAAATGGTCATTCCAGCCCACAGATGAAGAATAATTTAATAATCCAAAACAGCCTGTCCTAATTTTATAATGCTCTAATAAGGGAATTATTATGTTGAACTCAAGTCTGCTTCCCAACAGCCTGGTCTTTAAGACTCCTCCACACGTGCCTACCAACAAATAAAATTTCTCTTCAGCAATGCCATCCTAATTTTTTGAGGTATTTTCACTAGACAGTTTGGAATGTCTGTCCTGTATAATTTCCACCCATCCCTGACTCCTCTTTTCCTATGTTTCTACAGCTATGTTTTAAACTACATGATCTTTCTTTTCCCTGGCTACATAAAATTGGAAGAAGGCTAGAAAACAGACTGAAGGGGAGTCATTCAGATTCTCTTTCCAAGATTTTAGAAATGGCACACACACATTTATCAATCTCTGTTAAGAACTTGAGCTGGTGGTGTGGGGGTATGATGCAAGTGTGGGACTGGAGAGAGAATGTTAGGCCACATCCACAGTCACAAAGAAGAAGAAATAGATGAACAAAAGGGACTTACACGAAGCAGAAGTGAGAGATAGCTGGATTGTTGCTATGCACAGTCTAGTTGATTCCAACTCATAGCAACCCTACAGGACAGCAAAAAATGGCCTCATAGGATTTCCAAGACTGCAAATCTTTACAGAAGCAGACTGCTTCATCTTTCTACCACAGAGTGAATGGTAGGTTCAAACCACCAAACTTTTGGTTAGCAGCTAAACTGTTTAACAACTGAGCCACCAGAACTCCTTTAGCACTGCACAGGGAGCTCTTGTGGCATAGTGCCTAAGGCATAACCAGAAGGCTGGCAGTTCAAACCCACCAGCTACTCCTTGGAAGGAAGGTTGGGCAGTCTATTTCCGTAATGACACCGCCTTGGAAATCCAAGGAAGGGCTGCTATGAGTCAGATAAAACTCAATGCCAGTGAGTATTTTGTGTGAGGGGAGAGCAATAGCCATTTTAATTACTAATGATGCTCTAGTTCTTGGTTCCAGTCTTAGCTGCACTTCCTGTTCTCAGGTCTGTTGGGACATTCTTATTAGTTGCAATGTTCCTGTTGAGATATTCTTATTCTTAATAGTCATTTGCAACCAAAAAAACCCTCATTAAAATCAAAGTGTCTTTACAACCTGCCTGTTCATTTTAGAGCAAGTACTCCAAAGTTTTTTTTTTTAATGGTTCTTAGCAAATTTATGTGAAATCACATCACCCTGCAATCAGCACTGTCCTTAGTGCAAAGCGTGGTGATAGTAAATAATAACACTTCAGGGTATAACATAACTGATCATAACAGAGCTGACCTCTCCCCACCTTCGCCCTGGACACTACTATTTTTCAAAATTGATGTAGCCTAAATTTTTTTTCTTTTGGGTAGCAATACGCTACCAAAGTCAATACAGGCAGTTACTGGGTTAGTAATGAGATCCATTCCTGAATGTACCTATAAGTCAAGCTTGTACGTAAGTCAGAACAAGTGCTTTCAGTTATTACTTAGCTCTACTTCTGGTAGCATGGTGCATATGGCATTTAGCTGCTTATCAGAAGGTTGGTGGTTCAAACCCACCACCACTTATGGGAGGAAGATGAGGTAATCTACTTCTGTAAAGATGTACAGCCTTGTAAATGGGGGTTGCGATGAGTTAGAACTGACTCAATGGCAGTGGGTTTACTATCATTTTTTAAGTGCAAGACAAGGGTTTTTCAAGGATTTAAAAGCTGTATGTGCAGCAAGTTTCAAAGTAAGACAAATTTACACATAGGACAAGCAGGAATTGTCTGTAAGTCAGATGTTGGTAACCTTGGGACTTCCTGGAGTAACTGAATTACTTTCAAACTACTGCAACGAATCTGAGACCTAATAACACTGCTGATACACGTTTTGAAATTAACTGGTATTACATGATCCTTATTTCTCTAAGTCAACAATAGTGCTTTTAACACTTAATGTTTATGCTTATTCAATTTGGCATATATTTCTACACTATTAGAGTTAGTCCACATACCTAATATGACATGACTTTTTTCCAACATTCATCTTTTTTAAAAATTTTTTTTTATTGTGATTTGGGTGAAAATTTACAAAGCAAATTCACTTTCTGTACAGCAGTTCACATACACTTTTTCTCATGACATTGACCACAATTTACCACAATGCAACAGCTCCCCTCCCACTTCCTCCCTGTGTCCATCCCTCCATGCACTACTGCTCCCTGAGCTGTCTCCCTGTGCATAAGCAGTCCTTCTTTCTCACATGATTGTTCTCTCCAAGGAGTGTATCTACCTCAGGGAAATGTTCAACTCATATACCTGTCTATTGTTGGCTGGAAGCCACAGGCATGGGTTCAATTCCAGACCTGAAGGGCAGCTAGGGGCCATAGTCTCAGTGGGTCCACCAGGCTCTATTGGACCAGCAAACCTGGTCCTACCTTTTTTTTTTTTTCTCTCCAAATGATTTTGAGTTTTGTTCCACATTGTTTTCCCTCTCTATCAAGGGTCTCCTACACAGATCCCCTTCCAAGTGGATGACAGTGGTAGCCGGGCACCATCTAGTTCTTCTGGTCTCATAGTCGTATAGGCTGCAGATCGGATGGAGTACCAGTCGCTAGGACTAACTGTTTCCATGAATTTTTGGTTTTCTTCATTCTTCTTTGCTCTGGACAAGGAGAGACCCATCATTGCATCTAGATGGCAGCTTGCAAGCTTTTAAGACCCCAGTCACTACTCGCCAAAGTAGGAGGTGGAACAATGTTTTGTGTACTATGCAACATTCATCTTAATTTTTTTTTTCCTTTTCCAAAAGTCCATTAGCTTTCAAAGTCCACATCGCTTTCAAGAATCAATACTTGTGGTAAGAAAGCTAGGAAGGGACTTCTGTCAAGATGATGGAATAGGCAGACAAGTTATACAGGGCCTCTATGACAAAGAAACAAGAAGCTAATTGAAACACATAGAAGATAATCTTGGAACCCTGAGCTTTGAAGGGAAGGATACAGAAGTGGATTAAATACTGACTAGCAGAAGAACCTGAATGAACACAATAGATAAAGAGACAAACAGAGCTGTGGACTGCTGGCTGGCCTGCCAGAATGGCCATTTTGAGTATCTGCAAGCGGTGTTTTGATTCAGGTATCAACCTGCTAATCACCTCTGCTACCTGAAGACTACATGAGCAACTGCACTGGTGGCTGAAGACCAGAAAGGTTCAATATTCCCCTTGTACCCTATACTCACCCAGTGAACAAAGGTGTGGCCATCCCCCACCTCCACCCACCTTCTGGACTGGCAGGAATTTCATCATAGACTAGGCGCCCTGCCACCAACTGCTTTCTGTGCAGGCAAGAACCGGTCCCAGGACTAGGAATCCTTTTGCACTGGTAGGAACTTTTTCTGAGATCAGGTACCCTATGCCAGCCAGCTTTTGGGATGGCAGGAATTTTATTGGAACAGGACCCTATGAACAGTTTCTGAGGTAGCAGGAATTTTGGGACCAAATACCCTGCCCATGGCTGCTTTCTAAACTGGCAGGAACTCCCTCTGGAACCAAGTACCTTGCTCCTAATCACCTTTTGGACCAGCAGGAACTTTTTCTGGGTCTAGGAGCTCTGCTTCCAGACACCTTCTGGACCAGCAGCAACTCATTTGAGAAAAGATGCCCTGCCCCCCATTTGCCTTCTGGGGAGCTAGGAACCAGTTC